TTGTCTCGGAAAAATGAATTATTTGTTTCCAATCTTGCGAGAAATCATTGAGTGTTTTGTTTTTTACGCTTTATCAATCTTTTGCAGGTTATTTAAAGCCAGAATTCTTTTAGATTGTAATAAGTCTTCTTTATGGAGATAATAATGGTTTAGTGTTACAAGTCTTGCTAATTAATCTATAGCTGGATGGATAAAAGATGGAGTCGTACCTTGTATGAATATAAGAATTTTTCTTTCTTTTTTTATTTGGAAATAATGTTGATTTACTGATAAAAGTCCTTCTAATGAAGTCGGCTAGTCGGCCTGGGTATAACGATAAACAACATCCGCGTCCCGGGTAAGACGATAAACTACGTCCAACAGCAAGGCCACTGATCATTTTGTGGAGCATGGAACCACCTCTTAATTGTTGGTGTTTCCAGGTCCATCCTGACCTGGGGTGGTAGCACTTGTTAGGGTCCCAGCTATGGGTAAATAGCTAACTGCCAAACTGGGGTCAAAACACTATGAAGTTGTAAAAATAGGTTTTAATACCAGAAATACTTTGTAAAAAAAGTATTACCAGCAATAATTTCTTAAAGAAAAATTATTACCAGCAACATATTATTACCAGAAATACATTTTTGAAAAAAAAAAATATTACCAGCCAAACATTTAAAAAAATTACCAGCAATACATATTTGAAAAAGAAAATATTACCAACAATAAAAATCTTGTCGGCATTAAATAACCCATTGAGGTTGATATACCGTAAAACACAACAAACCAAACCAAACTAATACCTGGTGGATGTAGAAGAGGATTATTCATAGCAAAGGTATTTGAGCTTAAGTAAAAATAACGAACCCAACTGGAATTGAAACACGGTTCTCGGATTACTAATACGTTATCTGTTACACCGGACTAACATCCAAGCTTACAGCCCCTGATATCCCCAAGCGTTCACCCATCTAGGTACTGGTCAGGCTCGACGTTGCTTAACGTGATCCTACATGCTTGAACATGATATGACCGTAAGTTACTTCTTGTGCAAATAGAATTTATTAAAACAAAATTTACCAAATGCTTCAACAGATCTAAATAACATGCGTTTTATCAAATATGATTCTTTATAAAGAATGATTGATTGATATATTTTTTACGGCTTATCAACCCTGTGCAGGTTATCTAAAGCCAGAAAATATTTTTAGATAGTAGGAATTTCTTGAGATAATATTGGTTTAGTGACACCTGTCTTACTAATTAACCCATAGTTGGTGGCGAAGATGTAGATTCATACTTTTCCCAAGAGTAATTTGCGCTTAAGTGAATATAATGAACCAAATGGGACCTAGAACTCGGCTCTATGATTAACAATTCCGATCCTGTTTCTATTATACCACCTGCACATCCAAACCCAGAGTATCTACTCTTCATGCAACTATAGTGATTTTCTAAGCCCGGCTTAGATGTGGCACAAGGCCGAAAGTATGGGGTACCCAGTGAGGATCGAACTCACTACTCAGTCGTAATTGATCTAGGAAGACAAGATTTCTAACCATTACACCACGTCGAGGTGCCCCTCTTCATACAACTATATAGGCGCTGACCAGGATCAACATTGCTTAACTTCGATGATCATACATGAACCAGTGTTTTATAAATAGTAACACTGGTATACACCCGTCATTTGAAATAGGCAGATATGACCAATGTGAGATAAACCCGACAAGGAGATGTATAGAGACAACTTGTAGTTTAGTTATAGCAGGGTATTGGTTAGATTAACCATTTCTATATAGAAAACATATTAAGTATGTCAAAATATTATGTAACAGTTTTCCAGGAAATAAGATTTCTTACATTTTTCTACGCTTCTTTCTAATTTTGAGAGGCGTTTCCTTCGAATGTTTTTGTTTATGGTATTGTGAAAAATCAGGATCATGATTATGTCATTATTTTCCTTTTTAGTTACGATTGTTCCGCATTTTTAATGTTGCTGTTAGAATTCATCAAGTGATATCATCTTTGTTATTTATTAATGCACTGTGAGACGTTGTTCTTAGGGTCTGCTGAAGAATTGTCTTTTTCGATAGCTAGCTAGCTAGCTAGCTAGCTAGCTAGATAGATAGATAGATAGATAGGGAGGAAGGAAAGAAGGAAGGAAGGAGTTGTCTAAAACAGGTTGGTCAGACAGATGAGTATAGCCACGGCTGTTGATATTGATTCTAACTGATAGATAGATAGATAGATAGATAGATAGATAGATAGATACATAGATAGATATAATCTGTCTGAATTCCTGATATGAGTTATTATTTTCACTATTGTACAATAAGTATTATACAAGAATTATCAGTGTCGTAACTTCTTCTAGTTTTCATTTAATACCAGAATATATTTAATTTTTCAAAATCATTTTTAATATTTTTTTTCTTTTCATAATTTTTATTCTAGTACATTTATTATAATTTTCACGGATTGATATGTTTATTACTGTTTGTTTTTGTTTTTTTTAATTATTATTATTTATATGTTTGTATAGTTAATACAATACGTTTGATGCTGCCGGTTCGTTTTTCATCACAATATACCTACTTCTGCATTCCCCAGCATTCGCTCAGTTGTCCTCATCTTTGTTGTTGTTATCACAACCTTTCGGCCGTTATGTTCTCTGGCTTTCCTTAGGTGTATAGCGATAAAAAAAATAAGGTTCTATTCAGGATTCCTTGTAATTTACCCAAATCGAAATGAAACAAGAAGATTCTACTCCCGTAGATTAAAAAAAGGGTCCAGTTCAGAATTCCCTGTAGTTTATCCGTAATGATTTACAACTGAGGAAGGCCGGAGGACACAAGGGCCGAATCGTTGTGATAACAACAACGAAGATGAGAACAATCAGAAGATAGATAGATAGATAGATAGATAGATAGATAGATAGATAGATAGATAGATAGATAGTAAGTAGTTTTCCAAGCGTAGCACGAGGCTGAAAGTATAGGGAACCCAGTGATTATCTGTCTCATTTTTCAGTCGTAATTGATCTAGCGAGATAAGCGACACTAAGAATTACACCACATCGATGTGCAAATAGATAGATAGATAGATAGATAGATAGATTACCTTTTTTTCTGGGAAAACAATGATACGGATGGGATACATGTGGGATCGAACTCACTAGACTAGTTAATAATATGCCTAAACTACTGCAAGTCGTTAGCTAGAGAAAGGCGACTGACAAAGCTTAGTTTGTCGGGAAATTGGTTAAATAAAACGAAAAAGCATGGATAGCAGGTATTGCTACAACGTTTTCCCTGTAAGTAAGCAGCGTGCCTTAGTGTTTTGATTTCTGTTTAGGTGTTCACTATTTGGCCGTAGCTGGAGCCCTAGCAGTTGCTACCACAGAGGATCATTGTGGAACTGGGAATAAACAGCAGTTAAAGAGATAGTTCCCTGCTTCTCAAAAGCTACAAATCTCCCAATCACAGGCCTGTAGTTTATCGCCAGGTCGGTTATGTGACATGCGTGATACACGCTTAAGCGATCATGTATTTTTCGATACATGACTGACGAGGTAGGTTATTTTCCGCAGTAGGTTGCCATTTCGTTCTGAGGTAGACCAGTTGCTATCCAAGGCTGTAGAACCCAGTCTGTTCTGCTATTTGCCCATAGCTAAGGAGAGGGAGAAGAAGAAGATTCGTACCTTTCCCAAGGATATTAACATGTAAGTGAATGTAATGGATTTACCTGGAATTCGAACTCGGCTCTCCGATTCCTCAATCCAAACCGCTAGCCATTACTCCACCGTAACTCAGGAAAACAGATATTTATCAAATTACAAATATATGTAAGACTAACCGTCGCTTATCAAATTATATAATTATATTAAAATTACGTGCGTTTCTACTTTAACAATTCTGAAAATAATTAAGTTGATTTATTTCAAAATTGCTGAATAAATATGTGAGCCTAATATGTATTGTGAATGATACGCTCTTCCGAACATTTGTTCTATGATGCGATGACTTCAAAACCAAAAAGGAAATGTTTTAAATGTTTTCTGCGGTAGACCATTTACTATCCAAGGCTGTAGATCCCGGTCTGCCCTGCTGTTTAACCATAGCTGGGGAGTAGGGGTGGTGAGAAGAAGAGGATTCATATTTTTCCCAGGGGTATTAGCACGTAAGTGAATGTAATGGACTTTACTGGAATTCGAACTCGGCTCTCCGATTCAATCTTTATTTGTTGATTTTTTTTTTTTTTTTTATTCTTTCTCTTCGTGTCCTCGTTTTTTTTTCTCTTCTTTTATTGTTGTTGTTTTTTATTCCTTCCTCGTGCCCATAAATTTTTCCCCATTTTCCTCGTTTCGTCACTAAGCAATTTTTTTTTATTTTATATTTTTATCAAAACCTCATGATTTGTTTTCCGACTTCTTCTTCGTTTTTTATTTAATTTTCCTTAGCATTCTTACTCTATAATTTTCCTTCCTCTTAATGTTGTTTTTTTTATTACCATTTCGTTATTTTTTTTTTCATTCATCTCTTTTCTACCGCTTATCATTCTGCCTCCTCTTCATTCATCTTTTTAAACTATCTTTTCTTTTTGCATTCTTTGTCAATTGCTTTCCATCAACGAAAATACATTTAGAATGTTTTTTTTGTTTTGTTTTTTGCTTTGTTTTTTTAAGCCAACCAGTGGTAACAGAAAGCGTAATCAATAATTCATTTTATTTGAGGAAAGTGATAAGTAAAAAATAAATAGATTCATTCTGACAGAAATTATGAGAAGATCGATAAATTTTAAAAATCTTTTCTTTAAAAAATATAGTCTAAAATGCTTAAGATTCATTTTTTGAATAAAACCTAGCGGTCCGAATGAAGAAAATGATAATTTATATTCGTCTTCTAAAAACGGTATTGCTTTAAGACAATATTTATCTTACGAGTCAGTTATTGTTATTACACGCTGATTCTTTTGAGCCTGTTTCTTTGTCTTTGTTATAACTTTTTTATTGATCGATTATGACGGATTTGCCCATCTCTCTTCTTAATTCTTCTTGCTGTACCAGTATTTACTATTTTTCTTTTATCCTAAAGCTATATCCCGTCGCCCGTGGAAAAATGTTAAATGACTGGATATGGATGCCATCCTCAGTTGGAGTAAAAATCGGATATTATTAAATTCCAATGACATCTATTGATTAGATTTCGTAGCCTAATAATCTCGTTTTCCTCCTGCTCTTCATTCTTCTTCTTCTTCTTCTTCTTCTTCTTCTCCTTCTTCTTCTTCTTCTTCATTCTCCTCCTCCTCCCTCCTCCTCCTCTTCTTCTTCTTCTTTTTCTTCTTCTTCTGCTGCTTCTTCTTCCTCCTCCTCCTCACCTCCTCCTCCTCATCTTCTTCTTCTTCTGCTTCTTCCTCCTCCTATCCTCCTCTTCTTCTTCTTCTTCTTCGTCTTCGTCTGCTTCTTCCTCCTCCCCTCCTCCTCATCTTCTTCTTTTCTTCTTCTTCTTCTTCTTCTTCTTCTTCATTCTCCTCCTCCTCCCCTCCTCCTCCTCCTCTTCTTCATCTTCTTCTTCTTTTTCTTCTTCTGCTGCTTCTTCTTCTTCCTCCTCCCCCTCCTCCTCCTCATCTTCTTTTTCTTCTGCTTCTTCCTCCTCCCCTCCTCCTCATCTTCTTCTTCATTCTCCTCCCCCTCCCCATCCTCCTCCTCTTCTTCTTCTTCTTCAAAATTAAGTAAACAGTTCTTCTCTTTTTACTTCTCTTCTTTTAATCTGTTTTACCTTCCTCTTTCTTTTTTTTTATTTTTAGTCTTTCTTGAACATTTTTCCAAAACTGATATCTTTCCAAAGAATTAAGTGGGAACCATTTTTTTTTCAATCCATGTTCCTCCGTTAATACCAGTGTAATATATAAAAAAACAACCTCAGTGTTAAGAAAAAAAAAAAACTCCAGAAAAATTATTAAACCATCCCCAAATTCCTGATAATGAAACTAAACCCTAATACTATCTCCACTTAGAACGTTGGCGATTTGACACACCACAGATTCGTATGATTATTTTTGAATTTCCATTAGAAAATTTAGTTCAATAGTTTCCTGTTGCCTTCTACTTCTTTCACTTGTAATGGTTTTCACTCAGTCTATTCTGCTGTTTAGACATTAGATGGGGAAGGTGGAAAGAGACGTATTCATACCAATCCCAATGACATATGATCTGGAATTGGAATGAAAATAGTGATGGCACCTACCTTAAATCAATAAAAAAAATTCAGGATGAGTTATTAGTAAATACCAAACACATAAATACCTAATTGTATGGACCATTCATATAAATACAGTATAGGAAATCAGGGAATTCAACATAGAATAGGTTGCACTAGGGGTAGCTTCGCCCAATACCTCAAGTTGCTACATAACCAAAACGTCATCCTGTAAAAACGAGTTATGTTCTTAAATAGCCTCGCCAGATCGAGACTTCTATACGGATGTCATGCATGGCGACAAACCTTTTCAGAAATATCTAATCTGTAAGATGTATGTAAACGTTTTGCTGGTTTAAAATGGCATTGAGCCAGTGAAGTCTGTAGATATTCGCGAAAACTACCCTCCTTCGAACATTGTCGTCTGGCGCTACAGAATCACAAAGAATTATGCCAAATAACGGAAACGACATCACCTGAGGACTTTAAACAATTAAAATGGACATCATATGTAACTCGAAGAGAAAATAATGATAGAATCAAGATGCTGACATTCCACAGTACTTCAAAAACAGGTTTGAAAGGGAACCCCCATCAATACTGGAAAGAGTAATAACAGCTACTGGACTTAAACCAATTTTCCTGAATTATTGTTTTAATAGAACGATTTTATAAATTTCAAATGACCTCAGTACTCGTGACTTGGACAATGAATGCCGAATGTTTCCTTATAAGGACACGGCTAATATTGCCATTATCATTCGTATGAAAGTGAACACAGCAGACCAGGTACGCTGATTCCACTTTTCCCACTGATATCGGTTGCATTATCCTCATTCCTAGTCTACATAACGTTTTTATTAAAAACTACATATCAATTGTAATTAAAAAGAAAGGTCGAGAACAATTACATAAATACATTGAAGAAGGGGTAGTTTGCTTTCGACAAAAATATGTCAAGAACTATTTCTTTAAAACAACTCGCCACTAAAAAAAAAAATCCTATGTAGCGATATATGATGATGCTCATTAAATGAAGTAGAAGTCGGAAGAGTCACTCTTTAATTGAGCATAACAACTTAAAGAACACTTGCCGACTACATTCTTATCTATATCTTAATTCTGAACATTCTCAACAAAAATATTTTGGAACATTAAACAGTAAAACATTGATTCGTAAATTTCCGAGAATGAAGCAAACCAAGAGAAAAGGTGATCAACAAGTTATGTTGTTAATCGTTTATCGATTATAGAAAGGTATATATCAAGAACAATTTTAGGGAGAAAAATAATATGACCAAGCAGAAAAAGTTTTCATATAACGTGTCTTATCCTTACTTTGATGTGTCTAAAACATGCGCACGAAAGAGACGCTGAGAATTTTAATTTTGTTTTGTTTACATATATATTCGGGGTATATAGTCTAGACAATGTCGTTTGGTTTCGTTTTTTTTTTTCATTTATTTCTGTTCATTTTTCCATCACTTTTGTTTTTGAATATCCAACTTCGTGATAATAGAAGATCTGACAAGAAAGATGAAATATTGTATGTGTCCGGACGTAAATTTACTATGGATGATCAACACATTTTCCTCTTAGTAAATTTATTTCTCTGTAAATTAGAAAAGCATCTTAAATCAGAATTGTGGTCAGACGCATTCCGGTGAGCAACTAATGCATTGAACGTGTTGTTTTGTAAAAGATCTCTTTTATGTTCATATTATCTTTTACTTTAATTTCTTTATGTTTTTCCTATGTTTTGAATTGCTTTTTATTGTTTAGAAGTAGTTGTAGCAAATGTTACGTGAAGTTTGATCAATTAATTTCAATTGCAATTGCGATAGGTATATAAGAATTTCCTTGAAAAGTACCTGTAACTGAAAGATATTATAGTGAGAGATATTTGTATATGAATGCCACACACTGTAACTAACTGATGATAGCTTCAGTTGCAGATTTTAAATTCAATGTTGTCCTCCTCTGAGACTACTTGACAATCACGGGTGAAGAGTCGAGTCTGGTTTACCATTTACTGAGTAGCTATGGGGAAGAGAAACGTGTCCATACCTTCTCCAAGAGTATCTCAGCGAAAGTGCGTGTGACAAACTCGATTGGAATTCGAAAACGGCTCGCCAATTTCTCGTTTTAAGCCAATATCCATTATACCATATATATATATATATATATATATATATATAGATGTAGGGGGTGTTATTAAGATCAACACTTTTCCTGAAACCATGTTTTATCAGACATACTTGCTGTAAAGACCTAGAAACTACAGCAGTATCAGCTGTATTGTTGAGGCTACAGTTCTACAATCTTCACACACACACACATACACACAAACATATATATATATATATATATATATATATATATATATATATATATATATATATATATATCCGAAATATAGGATGAAAATAATATATAAATTCTAGCGTTCACAGCATTAATTCAAAAAGAGTGCTCAATACCGATAGTAGAGTAATTATTATTTATTATAAGCTTTTCATATAGACAAAAACAATTTACTCACTACAAAGATGCAACTTCGTTTCAGTACATTTAATTGCACTTCAACTGGTGAAAACCAAAATGCTTATGAACAATTCTTGTTAAAGTAACCAAAAACATTTCCAATTACTATTATAGCCATCGTTTGAACTTATCCCTCCTTCCTCTTTCATCGTATTAGTCTCTACTATTCCCACCTTTTCTCACCCACCCCTGACTCTTAGAAGGCTTGGAAATGCTGTGCCTAAAGCCTTGACCGTTGTTGCCGGAAATAAATTTTTTGGGTCTAGACATCACTTCAACTCCTCAACCATCCTTCATCAAACTGCTATCAACAACCAATATTGTTTCACTCCGTCACCTTTTTGTCTTTATGTATTTTTTGTCAAACGATTGGAAAAAAGGAAGTGACGTTTCACATACGGCTTCTCTTACAAACAGAATTGTTTCATAACCATTTTGGTTCTCACCTGTCGAATTGCAATTTTAAATGCACTGAAACAAAGTTGCATCTTTGTAGTGAGTAAATTGTTTTCACCTATACGAAAAAATTACACACACACACATACATATATATATATATATATATATATATATATATATATATATATATATATATATATATCTTTTACGTTCTTTTATAGATACAAATATTTAAGTATATGCTCTGTATATAACAATATAATACTAATAATATTATAATAATAATGCGCCGGAGGACGAATATTTTCTATGAAAATTTCTCGGACATTCAAGCCGGTAAATGTTGTTAATACTGTTTATTATAAACAGAGCATTTACTTAAATATTTGTATCTATAAAAGCACGTATAAACATAAAAATGTCTTAAAAAATAATTATCGGACTTTGTCCATTTCATAATGCGTGACGTCATTTGTTTACATTTGGTTTCGCATTGAGCAGATATGAATGTATGAGATAAAATCAAGGCGAATTGGGATTAAATACAGTAAAATCGATCTTGCTAACCGAACGCTCCTCTATTGCCCAATCAGTAAAGGCACATCAGGCTATATGACGGTACCGTATAGGATACAGGTTCGATTCCTGTTGGACGACGCATATTTTCTATGAAAATTTCTCGGACATTCAGGTCGGTAAATGTTGTTAATACTGTTTATTATAAACAGAGCATTTACTTAAATATTTGTATCTGTAAAAGAACGTATAAACATAAAAAATGTCTTAAAATATAATTGTCGGACTTTTCATAATATATATATATATATATATATATATATATATATATATATATATATATATATATATATATATAATTAGAGAAAAGTAAGAAAATTTATCCAGAGAAAGTTTAGGTGAAACGCACACAATGAAAAATCTCCATGTTTTCGAAACGTTCATTGTGCAACGTGATGTACTGGTTAACATAACAGATATTTCCAGTATCTATAAAATACATAAATCCAACATTATAATCCGATTAATGAGAAAGCGTTTTTAATCGGATTATGATGCTGGATTTATACCCTTTATATATCGGAAATATTTAACGAAACAAATCTTACACATTTACAAGTCTACCATTCCTGCATGCATTCTGGTCTGGTGCTTCTGGTCTCTATCAAGAGATTTTTGACAAAATCCAAAGAAGAATCTGCATTGGTACATCTCGCCTTCAGTCATTTTTCGACCACACTAACTGTGCTTTTTCTATAAATATTTTCTTGGTAATTGTTCTGATACGATTTTCTCTGGTTTCACAAATTTAAGCACAGTACTAGATTGGCAGTTATGTCTCATCATTTTACAGTTGAAATGTAACCGTAAGTTATATGCTAATACTTACTTCTTTCACTTGTGTAACTCTCTTCTGACTTTTTAATTTCCAGTCAACTTCCTTTTAAAACGGATTAAGTGCAATGTCAGCCATCATCTTCTGTCTTCTTAATTCCTATTCTTTTATAGTTCACTCGCGTTAACAATGTTTTGTCATATTTTCCCTTCTCAGTGACGTTTGCGTTTTTTTTTTTTTTGTGATTTTATGTCCATGCTTGTGGGAAAATGATTTTGAACAGGAACAGATGTTTATACCTTCTTTCCTGTTTAGAATTGGGTTTCCGGTTCCTCTTAACTTATACTTCCGTTCCATACTT